CTGCTGGTTGCCTGGGAGAAGAGACCAACCCCCACCTGACTCCAACCTCCTGTCAGGGAGCTGCAGAGGGTGAGAAGGTCTCCCCTGAGCCTCCTCTTCTCGAGGCTGAACAATCCCAACTCCCTCAGCCTCTCCTCATAGCACTTGTGCTCAAGTCCCTTCACCAGCCTCGTTGCTCTTCTCTGGACCTGCTCCAACACCTCAATATCCTTTCTGAACTGAGGGGCCCAGAACTGAGCACAGGATTCAAGGTGTGGCCTCACCAGCACCGAGTCCAGGGGCAGAATCACCTCCCTGGTCCTGCTGACCACACTGTTCCTGATCCAGGCCAGGATGCCATTGGCCTTCTTGGCCACCTGAGCACACTGCCGGGACATCTCCAGTCCAGATGACTAAAATGTAAATCCTCACTCTCACAGTCTGCAAGAAACTGATGTAGGCAAAGGGATGTGATGATTCATTTGTTTCATATCACAGAGCCCAACACTCTTTACCCAAGAGCAGCCCAAAAGTGCACCTTGCCACCCACCTAAGAATTTGATAAAGTTAAACACAACTACCTGCGATTGATGCTTCTCCTCACACACAAACTCCCAGCTGCAATCCGGGTAGTGTGTGGTGTTATTGAAGCATCAGTTATCTTTAGCACCAGTGGAGCTCCATCAGCAGACCTGTAGTCTGCTCGGTTTGATAAGGTTTACTCTGTGCCTTTATCAACAAAATGGGGATAACCAGCAGAACATGGAGTCTGCAGTTCTTAACTCCGTTAGGACAGAGCTGACATTCACATCTCTGCGTGCACCATCAACCAGAGCATCCTGTCTGTCAGGGTCTATTTCTCTGGAAGAGGAAGGCTGGCACCACAGCTCCTCAGGAGCTCATGGTCACTGCTGGCAGATACCCCTCAGCTATAAAACACAGGGGAGGTCCCTGTTCCAACGGGTGCTTATGCCTGATGGATAGTGTTCCAGGTACCCAGGGAATGCAGGCAGAGAGCTCAGACTTGCTGCTGAGCATGTGTTGTTCCCAAACAGCTCAAGTTCTCTTCTCATACATTTAGGATGGTGGCTAGGAGAGCTGGCCAAGAGTTCTCTCTGAAGTTAGTCACACACCAGCTCACTGCAAGTGCCTTCCACCAGTTCTGAAGAGAAGTTTCCCTCTGCTTTTATCTCTTTTGGCTCTACCCATATGCTCCAGAACTGTCTTTTTACAGCTGCAAGCAGGGCCCAGGGACAGGGCAAAGAAACTGCAGAAAAGCAATTCTTTTTATTAACAGGTCTCAAACTTCCTTCATAAACTACACAAAGATACAGTCTCGGCTTATTAATAGCAGTAAATCTCCAAGTCCAATAGGCTTCAGTTAATGAATATTGATTATGATAGTGCTGGAGAAGGCTGGTATCAGTCAAAGTGAGATCCTGTATCCCTCTTTGCCTGAGCAGAGCTGTAAATTAACTGAAAGCTCACTTCTTTTTCAAAATTAGGTAGTGGAAAACACAGGGGTTAGGGCTGCACAGCAACTTTCACTATCTCAGGGCTGTGAAACCACCTCAATGCTAATAGCAGCTGGTCAGTGGGGCTAAGTGTTTTTTACTGTTTATTTAAGCACCTGTGAGCCTGTGGACCTGGCCCCTTTGGAGCCTACATGCAATCCAGAGGAGCAGGGATGGACTCCCAGGTGGTTAAGATGACAGACAGGGGATAACCCCTTGAGACAACTGAATGTATGATGTGAAAAGTGAGTTATTTTAGACTCACAAGCCTAATTTATTGATAGACCACTGCCAGCCTCCAACCAGGTGTACTTATGGCCCACTGTGCTGGAAGAGGACAGGCACTGGGCAGAGATCCTTTAACTTGAAGCAAGCCTGCCCTAGACCTCCACTGGCATTTGCAGTTTCCCATCTATTTCCAGATGTAAATTTACACTTCCCTCTATCCCCCATGAATATCTTAAAAGTAAGAATCTAAGCTGATTAACACAGCCAACCTGGTCACCTCAACCTTTGACTCCCCAGATAAATCTCATGCTCTTGGTGAGCAGCTCTATCTTTTACAACCAGGCTGGGATGACTTTGAATGGCCTTTAAATGAATGGAAGCTCAGGAAAATAAACCAAGGGCAGTCCATTGCAACAGAGACCTTACTGCTATCCTCTCATGTGGGACCAAAGCAGCGATGGGTGGGGAGGCTGAGGGGCCATATCCATGTTTTTATAAAACTATCTTTTATGCTCACTGAAATAACCCAACAACAACAACAAAACCCCCAGAACAGCCCTCTCTGCCCTCCCCACATCTGATAAAAATCAAATAATAGTGCAGCAGTGACTTATGTGCTCTCTGCCTGGTACTTCAATCTGGCCTTCCAGTTAATACACCCCATGATTAAAGCATCTATAATCTACAGTCTGTGGAGACCTGTATAGCAGGAGCAGCAGCAGGTGTGCAGCCTGATAAGGGCTGTTCACTCTGTGCAGATGAAACTTTTTAATATTTATAACTGCTGATTTTTTTTCCTGATGCCTCCTATAGAGGGGAAAGGGGTGAAAGTTTAAAGATAAAAGCTTGATGAAAGACCAGGTGGAATGTTTTTCCAAGGACAGGCAGGGGCTTAAAGCTATCTCCACCTAAGAGCTGGTTTAAGAATGCTGCTCAGGTAAGTGCAGCATCAGAAATGGGGGATGAAGTCTCTGGAAGACCTTCAAGGCTTGTCTGAAGTGCACCCAGGCTTTAAGCTGTAAGCTCCTCTGAGCTGTCTGTGGTTTGATTGTCTGCAGCAAGCACAGTGGGGCTGTGCTGGGACTGCCAGGCATCACCACAAAATAATTAAGTCACCCCAGGTCAGCTGCACATACTTCAAGTAAAGTGCTAACAGCATTTCCAGCTCAGCACTGAAATATGCTGAGAGACCTGAAAACACAGTGTCAGCCTAACCCCCTGTCTCTACCTCAGCAGGAGCTGCCACGGTCAGCACACAGGGCACTGGGAATGCACTTGAAAACATAAACCATATCCTGCTCCAATCAAGTCACTGCTGATTGCAGTATGGTACTTAGGATCCACAGCTAATGAAACACTCCAATACTCCCCACCAACTCAGTCTGTCCCATGGTTATCCCTGCTTGGTGCCAGGAAAACCCAGGATGACAGACAGGCACACAGATGCCTTCCTGACTCTGCTTACCCTCTGTCCAGACATAAGAACCCAACCAAACTCCCTATTTTCAGCAGCATGAGACTTGCCCCGTGCCCAAATGGTTTCATATTTGTGCATTAAAAAGGAAACCCAAAACTCCTGAGTGTCAATACCATGAAGATATGAATGACACTGCCCATCAGTAACTAGAAACAGAGATACCTGGGTCAACCTGAGTAACATAAGAAGATACAAAGAAAGGTATTCAATACATATATTCATTAATTTAAAGATACTCATTCATTTCCTCTGAAAGATGATACATTGACATACTCGTTTCAAAGTGAGCCACGTGGTCATTACTATAGCAGAGCACTTCAAAGTGTTGACCAAACACATACATACAGCACACCATGACATAGGGAGATACAGCTGAAATACAAGGCTTGGGTGAACCTGAACTGAGGCGACTCGAGCTGCAAGTTACACCTCAGCCACTCCTACTTCAGACTCCAGAAGTCAAAACAAAAAGAAACGCAGGCTGGCCAGGGAGGAGGCAGGGTTGCCTTTTCACCAGAGAACAAAGAGTGAGACTTCCAAGAAAAAAAAGTGACTCCTGACAAACACCCCACCTGAATTCAAAAGCATAGGGAAAAAAAAAAAAAGGGGCAGAGCTCTACACTCTGAGGCACATCCACTGTTTGGAAAGCATGAAGAAAACTGGATGAAGAAAATGTAACACTTAAGTTGTCTCCAGGACAGCTGCAGTTTTCCTTGATCTGAACAGACTTGTCTGTCAGAAATTGGATTTCTTGGCCTCCACTTTCTTGACCTCCACTTTCTTGACTGCAATTTACTCTTCTATAAAATACGATTTCAAATTATGTAAGTAGAGCTTAATTCTGAAGAGGTAACACTAAGGTGTTGAAAGTAAGTTTTAAAAAAGCCCTGAGTTTGTCTGTGTTGTTAATAAGGAGTTTATTTCAAACTTAGAACCTCGGAGGAAAACCCTATCAGAAATAATTTCTGTATGACTTCTGGAAGTACACGAAAAATCCAAATTAACAAAAGCACCTAGTGCCAGTGCACTAGTTAAAACTTCATTAGCACCTGGACACACACCAGCCAGAGCTCCTGCGGCACATAGCAGGCTGCAAGTAAAACCACACCAAGCTGCTTATCATTTCTGAAGAAAAACTCAAGGATTAGCCTCCCCCTGCACATCAGCTGGCCTCCCTGGCTACAGCAGACACCAGGATTACACTCATTTCCAAAGCACATGAGCATCTGGAATTTAGCAACCTTAGAGCATGAGATGGATGTACATGAAGGAACATGATCAGCACTTCATAGATGGAATTACTGAGTATTGTGTACGAGTTGTCTTTGACGAACCAGAGCTTCAGTGCCTTGAATGTGGGAGTGTTAAGACAAGTACAAGGAAGCTAAACATCCCTCTGAAGACACGAGTTTAAAAATGCATATAAAAATATAATTAGAATATCATCAGTTGTTTACACCTATGTATTGAACTCGCTACAAACAGGCTGTCAGCTCTAGTATAAAAGTAACACATCTGAAAAATAAGAATAATGAGAGACCATAATTCCCCTCAGACCCACGAACAGCAGTGACACATCTGTCGAGGCAGCCACCACACTCAAATTGAGCACCAGCAGCTCTGGAGAGAAGGACTGGAATCCCAGCAATGAACATGTCCAGAAAGCCTTGCTCAGAGGAAAAATCCCTCCCAAATACCAGGTGGCAGTATGCAAGCATGAGAAACACAGGAGAGTCCATCCAGGGGAAGCGGCAAAGGTCACTGAAAGTTGCACTTCTGCCAAGCAGTCCAGCTCTCATCACATGGAATAATTCTGAGCACAACTCATGAGCTTTGTGCATGTCCCTAAGATCAGTCAGTGGCACAGAGGTGTTCATAAGAGGATGCATCAATCTAAACTGAAGTGCTCTGCAAAAATATCATTTTTCTTCCCAAACAAACCTCGCACTTGCTCAAATTCCAGGGGCACATCGACAGCCTTTTTCTTTACTTCTTTATCAAAAAGCTACAAAATAAAACATAGAAAATAGTGTCAAAACTCAGTACAAGCTCTTCACCCTGATATCACTGCTCACTCTAACCTCTTAGATCCAGCAAATAAACCTTTTACCAAAAAGCCAGCCTTGTCACCACTGCTGCTCATGCTGTTATTTAACAGACATTCTCCTGTTTTTCCCTGGCTCTAGGTAACCAAAAGTCAATTTAGCTCCCTTGCCAGCAGCAAGGCAAATGAACAGGACATGGTTACTGCATCCAGAATCTCCTTTCCCCTGGTTCCAGCCATTCATAAAGGCACAGCAACATTACCTCATAAGCTGAGAGCTCCAGCAGTCCTGATATGTCATCCTCCATTTCAGACAGCGACTGGTTCAGGACAGCAGCTGCCTTGGCCACATCTGGATGGTAATGGTTTTGTAGAGTCTGCAAAGGCAAGACAAACAGGAGAAGGTCTAATAACTATAGGGTAACACATATCCATCTGGATTCCCATGCAGGTGTCTGCCCCTTTGTTGGTCAGATCTTCAGTGAACATCAAATTCTGGCAGAGGCAAGTTCTCTGTACTGTGCTACTACAGAGCTTCAAGAAACCCTGAATTCAGGCTTTCAGACATGTCAAAGGCCTCTCTCATCTGGTTCACATCAAGCTCCAGACAGACTCACTCCACCACAGGCCATGTCTACAATGCATAACTCAACTCTGCTACCTCACATAGCCCTTATGCTGTATCCTAACTTGGAATAGGCTGCCTGGAGAGGTGGTGGATTCATCGTCCCTAGAGGTTTTCAAGATGAGACTGGATGTGGCACTTAGTGCCATGTTCTAGTAACCATGGTAGGGTTGGACTTGATGATCTTTGAGGTCTCTTCGAACCTGGCTGATTCTCTGATAACCTAGCTGTACCCAACTAACTTCAATCCATGCTCCCCTTCAAAGCAAACAAAAAGCCTCCAACATTTGCAGCTATTTAGTCTGTTTCAGCTGTTAACTGCACACTTTTCAGCTGCACAGTCAGATATGTGCTCACAAGCCACCTACTAATCAGCATGTACCATTTCTCCAGTGTATGGAACCCTTTGCTAGGTTAGAAAGGGAAAAAGAGTAAAAGATCAGCCAGAAACTCATCTCATTTGCAAGATGTATGTCAGCAGGTTCTTGTGAGTGGGGCTGCCCACTGCCAACATTTGTCAAGGAAGCAGCAAGGGTGGAAGAGACCCATACCAGATGTAAATGCTCCGTTTTAGCAGACATACCTGAATCTCCCAGAGGGAGCTCTCCAAGGCCCTGCTTTCAGATGGCTCCTCCTCCTCCATAATATATGGATCTTCTGACATATCTAAGGACATAGCAGATACAGAGCTAGTAAGTCCTGCATGATGTACATAAACACAAAGAGAACAACAGCCAGAGTTGTTCCTTCCCAGGACGTTTTTGATCCAAGAAGAAACAAACACATCCCAGCATGACTCAAGAGTCACTGGCAGCACTACAGAATCATGTTTCATTTAAACAGCATAGGAAGTAGGGCACAAAGATCTGAAATAGCCTGGAACTTGCAGGAGCAGCCTGCTAACTTTCCACAAACTCAGGGAACAGAAGGATCCTTCTAAACCTCAGATCTGGGACTGGGATCTCCCCTCGTCCTGCACAGGAATCCTGCTCTTTGTGCTGCCTAATGGCATAACACAACCTCCCCTCTCACCTCCTGGCCCACCAGGTCTGTGCACCAGCACTTTGCACGCAGGGTGCCTTCGGAAGAGGTTGCAGATGAAGGGAATGATCATGAGGAGGGACTCGGGAGGAGCCGTGAGCGCCAGCCGGGAGAGTCGCTTTATGAACGCTGCCACCAGGTACGCTGGCAAGTGACTGTGGGCAGGAGACAGAAAGAAGCAGCACGTTAAAAGTCCTGGCAAGCGAGCCAGCAGCTTCACCCACCCAAACAGCCTGTCAGGAGGGCTCTGCAGATTTTTTTGGGCTGTGGAGTAAAGAGAAGCTCTAAGAATCCTGGTTTCAAACAGTACTATTGAGCATTGAGTGCTCTCTGGGACAAATTTGGGGGCACTTCCATTCAATGCATCACTCTGAGGCTCAATCCAGACACATGGCACCACTCCAGGCACTCACCAAACACAGCTCCTGTACGCAGCCATTCACATGGCAGTCTTTATTCAGTCCTTTTATAAACTTCTGAGTGCTTGGCCAGGCAACCTTAATTACATTCTTTTACTGTCATTTTGTGGGTTTAATTAATACACAGGCCCTGGTGTTAAATTTATGTAATACTTCCAGGACTGCAGCAAGCACTGCAGCTGTTAATGGGAACATAAAGCTGCCATAAAGTAAATGTGAGAGGATAGTTCTATTTTTTATGGTAAAAATGCAAATTTCTAACAGCAATCAGCTCATCTAGGCACCTTCTTCAGGTCACAAGAGCCAGGATGAAAGATGATGATTTTCAGTCACAGCCCTCAACCCAAAGGCTCACTAAACCTGCAAGGCTCAGCAAAGCCACCCCATAGGTCAAGTCACTCTCTACAAAATACACCATGGATACAAGGGGTTGGATATTAAGTATCTAGTGCTGAACTGCAAAGTGTTGCTCTTGGTTTATTTTATAGCATATGATGGCAACTATATGACCAGCTGCTTATCTAATTTCTTCCCTGTGTACAATGAACTGACAGCATCAAGACTGACTGTCAAACACTTTCCATTTCGATGCTATATGTCTGCAATAGGTCAGCAATTTATCAACAGCTTTATAATCTATAAAAAGCCTGCAAATTGTACCTTTCCATATTCATAAAGACAAGACAGCTAAAGTGGAACACAGATCAAAATACATCCATAAGCACTTGCAGCTCAAACTCTGATAACTAACTGCAAGTTTTCCTTTCTGAAAGGCTGTTTCCTTTCTATAGGTGCTTCAAATCTTCAAAAATAGCACATGGAAAATTACACAACACTACAATAACACTCTTGGATTGAGTTTTCTTGGTAAAAATGAATTTAAACCAGTAGGCACACTGAATACATTATATCCAGACATGTGGGGAGTGTTGAAGAAAAATCAATGGCCAACAGAGAAGCAGGAGGGAAATATGTGAGCATAAAAGATGCTACTTACGATGAAGACAGAAACAGATCAGTCAGGTGGAAGAAGCGAGCTCGGTACTTCACGTGATAGATAGAAGGGTCTAACAGACTGTACAGCTTTTTGTAAAAGTCAGGATACTCCCTGTTCAAACCAGAGGAAAAATACAGCATCCATTAGTGGTATACAGGGGGACTACACTAGATCTAAGTGTTCTGTGCTTTCATTAAAGGCCACTCCTGACCACTGTTGTGCTGTTTAGGTCTCTTAAGCTCCTCTCTCTACATTCACCACTTGAAAACAAGCTGTAAGGTGAATTTATGGCTCTTCAGTGTTCAGCCATTTTCAGGACAAGAACCTATGTCCATTGACTGCAAATGGTACAGGATGCAGTGAAAGGAACACCAAAGACTATGGCTTCACTATGCAATCAGATCAATGGAAATTGATTTTCAAGTGCTGAGCAACCACAGTCTGGAGAAGGGGATATTTAGGCTCAGTTGTAAAAAAAGGTCAGACTATCTAAAGAGCTCAGCATTCAAACAGCTGAACCTCTAGATCAGAGTTTGGCTTTTCATGAGGGAATCTTACAGCCTGAAGGTGTGGCAAATCCAGTGCAGGTCCTCTTAGAAAAACGTAAGTATTAAATACATTTATTATATGAATGCAAAACCCCATGTTCCTCTGAACAATATGCTCTTTTTACTTACAGATTATGCTGATGAATCAGAATAAATAATCCATTTAGGGCTAGAAGACTGATTGCTCCACCTGCAAAAAAGCAGGCAGGTATCAACACAATAAAAGTAATTTTAAAAAAAAAAATCAATCAGTTTCAACTTGTTTCTATTATAAAACCTGCCCAGAAGGAACACAAAATTGAGTACCTGCAATTAAAGCTAGCAAGATGGCTGAGAGGTGAAACAATTTCATCTACAACCTTCCAGATGCTCCCACATTTCTTACAAAGACTAGGAGAACAAACTCTGAATGACTGAGACACTAAAATGGGCTCTAATTCCCCAACAAAGCCACACTGGGGAGGCAAAGGTCTCCTCAGAAAGGACACTTCCATAGGAATATGTGGCTCCTGTGTTCAGATGCAGCCCTGATATCAGCAGCACTGGCTAAACTCCATATTTAAAACAAATCACTTCAGTATTCTCCTTTTCCCAAATCCTTAAATATGATTTTCCTTACACACAAGGAGCAACGACACTGAAAAACACGGGTAAAAACATCTCACTTTCAGGGACAAGAGTTCACTCTAGTTCTTTAGTTTCATGCCAGCCAAAAGTACATCTCTTCCATCATCCAGGTTGTGATACTGCATCCAGCAGAGCTCCCAAGTGCATATGTCCCATGCAGCACATATGTATCACAAAGGACAAAAGCCTGTTCTCACTCACCTATGCCATAGGCCACTGTCAAGAAGTCCATCATGAGAGTGGGTTCATTCATGTAAGGCAGAACAGAGTCATGCAGAATGACAAGGACCTTTTTGTAAAGGCCACTGGGCAGCTGTGTAGGAGAAACAACATAGTGAAACAATCACTGCAGGGAGAACTGGGAGAGTAACAGCAACCTGTGGCTCAAAAAGGCAACACACAAGCACAAGGAAATGTGCCAGGACAATACAGAACAGCTTGCAGTGGCAGTTCCCAAAGAGGAGAGTTTACAAGTGATCTAACTCACAACCAAGTTCATTCATAGAAGAAGGTGCTCACAACTAACAGTGTCATCACAATTCAGAAGGGAAAGTCAGCAGAAAAAAGGCTGGGGAAGCTTCCACTTGTGAACAGAGGTTGTTATTCTGTTATTCTTATGGGCAGAGTTGTTTAAAGGTGGGGGAAAAAGGCTGAGAGTAAGGAGAAACAGCCCATATATAAAGG